GGGAGAAGGTTTTATCAGGAGGCGGCGGGGCTTCTCGGAAGCCTTCGCGCCATCTGAGAGGGTTTCCGCATATTCGGGGGAGGCTCAGAGATTTCTCAGAAGGCCCCGAGCCTCCTGAGGAGGCCCGCCCCTTCTCACTTCCCGCTCGGGCTCGCCGCCGAATCAGGGGAGAACATCTGGATGGTTTGGGGCATCCCACTCGGTTTTTTTCCGACCGTCGCCGAGAGCCCCGTGCGACTTGGTCGGACGGGGCCAGGACGAGGACAAATCCGCTCCAGAGCGTTCTGGAACGCTCCGAGAAGGCCGCGGCGCCCGAGACATCCTCCAGAGCTACCAGAGATTCTCGATGTATCCTCACCCGAGTTTATCCTCGTCCTGGCTTCGTCTTGCCTGGAGCCTCGGGGCGCATGTGGCCGAGCTCGCCGCCGCCGTGGGAGGTGCCCCCGTGGGGAAAAAAGCAGTGCCGCTGCCCTGCCCCTCGGCGGCCCACCCCCCGCTGCGGCCGTCAACAGCAGATCGCCGCGGGGAGGGGGGATGGGACCGAGCGGGGCCGGAGAATCCGCGAAGTATCAAAAAAACATCTTTAGATTTTATAGCAGAGTTCACACATATATATATATATATACATATATATATATATATAACACGTAACGCATATATTACATAAGACCCCCATTCTCCGGCCGCGACCGCCGCGGCGTGTCCCAGGGGTGGTCTGACAAGAAGAAGACCTGGTGCTGCTCGAACGAGAAGCTGGGGTGCCAGAAAGCAGCCGAGGACGGCCCGCGCTGATCAGCGCATGTGCCTTTTGTCGGGTTGCTCGCCCGTCCGACAGCTCTAGAGTCAACCTGTTCCCCCAAGGTCGAGTTGAAGCGGCCTTGGAGCTGCGTGGCGCCATAGTGTAGCCGTCGGAGCATGTAGAAGGTGAGCGTGAGTCCTCTGGTATTCAATGGCGCATAGCATTGCGGGAGGACGATGGTGAGAGTGAGGCAGGTTGTAGGGACCCAGGGGATCAGTGCAAGGAGATCATTCATACTCAATCGCGCCCTCTTCACACGCGAAGAAATGTAACATTCTCTTCAAGTCACCCCTGGTCGTCTATTGTGAATGTCATGCCGTATTGGCAACCGCTTGCTTGCATGGCCGTATGTGCCTATTAGTAATGAGCACTGTATTTCCCAACCATCCTGTGGTATTGGGTACTCGCTTTGAAAAGACATCGCCCCGCGTCTCCCTCTTCCTCCTCTCCTCCCCCTCCTCCTCCTCCGCCTCCCCCTCCTCCTCCTCCTCCTCATCCTCCTCCTCCTTCTCCTCCTCTCCTACTCCTCTCCTCCTTCTCCTCCTCCTCCTCCTCCTCCTCCTCCTCCTCCTCCTCCTCCTCCTCCCCCTGCTCCTCATCCTCCTCCCCCTGCTCCCTCCTCTACCCTCCGCACCAGTCAACAATTTCGGCACACCCCGCATACGTTTAGTGGCCCCATAAGGGGGCTCCACCGAAGGCCCCAGTGGCTGCGTTCGCATGCGCCCACCGCACCCATGTCGGCACGCCCCTCACACATTTCGTGGCTCCGCAAGGAGCTCAACCGAACGCGCCAGTGGCTGCGGTCGCATGCGCCTGCCGCACCCATGTCGACACGCCCCTCACACTTTTCGTGGCAACCCAGGGAGCTCCTCCGAAGGCCCCAGTGGCTGCGTGCGCATTCGCTTACCGCACCCATGTCGGCACACCTCTCACACGTTTCGTGGCCCCACGGGGAGCTCCACCGAAGGCCCCAGTGGTTGCGTGCGCATGCGCCCATCGCACCCATGTCGGCACACCCACACACGTTTCATGGCCCCACAGGGAGCTCCACCAACGGCCCCTGTGGTTGCGTTCGCATGCGCCCACCGCACCCATGTCGGCACATCCCTCACACGTTCGGTGGCCTCATGGTGAGCTTCACCGAAGGCTCCAGTGGCTGCGGTCGCATGCGCCCAACGCCCCCGTTTCGGCACACCTCTCGCACGTTTCGAGGCCTCATGGTGAGCTCCACCGAAGGCCCCAGTGGCGGTGTTCGCATGCGCCCACCGCACCCATGCCGGCACATCCCTCACGCGTTTCGTTGCCTCATGGTGAGCTCCACCAAAGGCCCCAGTGGTTGCGTTCGCATGCACCCACCGCACCCATGTCGGCACATCCCTCACACGTTCGGTGGCCTCATGGTGAGCTTCACCGAAGGCTCCAGTGGCTGCGGTCGCATGCGCCCAACGCCCCCGTTTCGGCACACCTCTCGCACGTTTCGAGGCCTCATGGTGAGCTCCACCGAAGGCCCCAGTGGCGGTGTTCGCATGCGCCCACCGCACCCATGCCGGCACATCCCTCACGCGTTTCGTGGCCTCATGGTGAGCTCCACCGAAGGCCCCAGTGGTTGCGTTCGTATGCGCCCGCCGCACCCATGTCGGCACATCTCTCACACGTTTCGTGGCCTCATGGTGAGCTCCACGAAGGCCCCAGTGGCTGCGTTCGCATGCGCCCACCGCACCCATGTCGGCGCACCCTTCACACGTTTCGTGGCCCCACAGGGAGCTCCACCAAAGACCCCAGTGGTTGCGTTCGCATGCGCCCACCGCACCCGTTTCGGACCACCCATCGCATGTTTCGTGGCCTCATGGTGAGCTCCACCGACGGCCCCAGTGGCGGTGTTCGCATGCGCCCACCGCCCACATTTCAGTACACCGCTCACACGTTTCGTGGCCTCATGGTGAGCTCCATCGACGGCCCCAGTGGCGGTATTCGCATGCGCCCGCCGCACTCATGTTGGCACGTGGCCCCCTAGGGAGCTCCGCCGAAGGCCCCAGTGGCTGCGTTCGCATATGCCCAACGCTCCCATTTCGGCAAACCCTTACAAGTTTCGTGGCCCCACAGGGAGCTCCACCGAAGGCCCCAGTGGTTGCATTCGCATGCGCCCACCGCACGCATGTCGTCAAATCCTCACACGTGTCGTGGCCCCACAGGGAGCTCCACCGAAGACCCCAGTGGTTGCGTTCGCACGCGCCCATCGCACCCATTTCGGCACATCCCTCACACTTTCTGCGGCCTCACGGTGAGCTCCACCGAAGGCCCCAGAGGCGATGTTCGCATGCGCCCACCGCACCCATGTCGGCACACCCCTCACGCGTTTCGTGGCCCCGCAGGGAGTTTCACTGAAGGCCGCAGCGTGCGCATGCCCCACCGCACCCATGTCGGCTCACCCCTCATACGTTTCGTGGCCCCACAGGGAGCTCAGCTGAAGGCCCCATTGGTTGCGTTCGTATGCGTCCACCGCACCTCATTCGGCACATCCCTCACATGTTTCATTGCCACACGGGGAGCTCCACCCTAAATGGTTGCGTTCGCATGCGCCCACCGCCTGCGTGTCGGCAAACCCGTCACACGTTTCGTGGCTCCAGGGGGAACTCCACCGAAGGCCCCAGGGGCTGAGTTCGCATGCGCCCACAGTTCTCATTTCGGCACACCCCTCCCACGTTTCGTGGCCTCATGGGGAGCTCCTCGAGAGGCCCCAGCGGCTGTGTTCGCATGCGCCCACCACGCCCATGTTGGCACACCCCTCACGCGCTCCGTGGCCCCACAAGGAGCTCCTCCGAAGGCCCCAGTGGCTGCGGGCGCATGCGCCCGCCGCACCCATGTCGACACATCCCACACACGTTTCGTGGCCCCGCAGGGATCTCCACCGAAGGCCCCAGTGGCGGTGTTCGCATACACCCACCGCACCCTTTTCGGCGCACCCCTCACACGTTTCGTGGCCCCACGGGGAGCTCCATCGAAGGCCTCAGTGGTTGCGTTCGCATGCGCCCACCGCACCCTTTTCTGCGCACCCCTCACACGTTGGCTCCACGGGGAGCTCCACCGAAGGCCCCAGTGGTTGCGTTCGCATGCGCCCACCGTACCTATTTCGGCGTACCCCTCGCACGTTTCGTGGCCTCATGGGGAGCACCACGGAAGGCCCCAGTGGCGGTGTTCGCATGTGCCCGTCCTGTCTATTTCGGCACAGCCCTTCGCGCGTTCCGTGCCCCCATGAGGAGTTGCACCGAAGGCACCAGTGGCGGTGAGCGTATGCGCCCGTCCCGCCTATTTCGGCACACCCCTAACACGACTCGGTTCCCTAGGGAGCTCCACCGATGACCCCATCGGCGGTGTTCGCATGTGTCCGCCCCGCCCATGTTGGCATACCCCTGACGTGTTTCGTGGTCCCATGGGGAATTCCACCGAAGGCACCAGTGGCTGCGTTCGCATACGCTCACCGCGCCCTGTTCGGTACATTCTTCACACGTTTCGTGGCCCTATATGGAGCTCAACCGAAAACGATACTCACACATACATTACTCACAGCTGCATATGGTTGGATCCTTCGCCTGTCTATGTTTGGTGAGTTTCATCCACCAGTCCACTTTAGGCGCATTCCTACATCAAGAGTCGACCAGTTTCTCTGTTCTGTCCTCTTCAGGGGGCGGGCGGAATTTCAATCTATGGTTAGCGCCTTCCTACTTCAAACTTCTACCCACTCCTTCCCACCGATGGGTACGCACGCATTGAGGACGGTAGCTTGAGTGTGTCATGCGTTCTGTCTTGTGTAGGGTGGGTCGATGGATGCCCGATTTCACGCAGAGTAGCGATTGCAAGACAGGATACTTCTGTGCTTGCAAGCTGGATTATCCTGAGTGTTTGCTCCAACGATCTCCACATGCTCTTCCCATCGGAGTGGGCATGGCCGCGTTAAGTCCTTTTTCATTCTCCGTCTCGGACGCGCCCTGGTGCGGAGACGCCTGTTGCCTCCAGGGGGCTTCCTCGTGTTGCATCCGCATAGAGCTTAGCTGTCCTTTACTGGGGTTTACGATAGCCTCAAGATGTCGTAGGACCTCCACGTGAGCCACCTGGTACAACATAGTGTGTTTGTTTGTGTGTGTGGGGGTCAGCAGTAAATGAGCAGTTTTACGGCAGAGTGAACGAACGCGTGCAAGCTGATGGCATCCTCTGTATTTGCTGCAGGCCACAACGACTACGTCACAGACTTCTGCTGGAGGCGGTGTGCCACTACTGGTGGAAGGTAAGGAGTCCTGATGTATTGTATTTTGATGCTTGTTTCTGTTTGGTTGGCCATCCAGCTTGTTTGATTGGGTTGTCCTGCACGCAGGTTGCCAACAGTAGTCATCATTTTGTTTTTTCGGGCTAGCCATGTGGGTCATACTGTTGCACAGGTATGTGATCCAGCCTATGTCCATGTCTAAACACGTGGCAATGAGTATTGCTGTGATGACGTGTTCTACGCTTGAAGAAGGCGCCTACGGCGAATTACCGCCGCCCCTGCCTTTTTGGAAGCGACTATGTGGCCGAACATTGGGCTAGAGCTATCGGACCATGTTTTCCCCCAGCTGTTGTTGAAACCTTTCGGGGAACACGCGAGGAACATGCTAAGAATGAAAGGGAGTAGGAGGAGGAGAAGGAGGAGGAGGATGAGGAGAAGGCTGAGGAGGAGGATGAGGAGGAAGAGGAGGAGGAGGAGAAGGAGGATGACGCCTCTTGGAAGCCTCTTGGGGCACTCTTGGGATCTTCTAGGAGCTTCCGGGGGGCTTTTTTGGAGGCTTTTTGGTAGCCACTTGCGCCCTGTTTGGAGCCATGTGGGGCTTGTTCGGGGCCGCTTTGGCCGTCTTCGGGCGTTCCTGGCCCGTCAGGCGCCGTTGGAAGCCGTATTTGATGCCTCTCTGAACCGACTTGGGGCCTTCTTGTGGCGCTTCAGGGCCGTCTTGGAGGCCATCTTGGGCGTCTTGGATGCCTCTTGGGCCGTCTTGGGGCCTCTTGGGGCCGTCTTGGAGACCTCTTGCGCCGTCCTGGGCCATCTTGGATGCCTTTGGGGCCACCTTGGGGCGATCTTGGGGGCCTCTTGGGCCGTCTAGGGCCGTCGGAAGGCCGAAAAGAAGCAAACGCCTAAATCCTTCAAAAACACAAGGAACATCAATAAGTTTGGCTTCTGCTGGCCCCAGTGAAGGACCTCTTGGGGGCCTCTGGGGCCGTCTTGGGCCGTCTTGGAGGCTTCTTGGGCGGACTTGGAGGCATCTCGGACGTTCTTAGGCTGTCTTGGAGGCCATCTTGGGCTATCTTGGAGCCATCTGGAGCAGGAACAACTTTTGCAAACAGGTCGAACGCAGCCTTCCAGGTGGCGGGCTGCATGAACCGAAGCACCCGGGGGCTTCACTTGGGAAAGAAACCAATCCGTGGGATCTAGCACGCTAGGCACCCCTGTGGCAATCCAACAGCGGGCGGCGGATTAGTGTCTTTCGGCATATCTTGCCACCGTGCCTGGATTGTGGGCCAGATTCCTCTTGGATGTTTCTTGGGATCCCTCTCGGGAGCTTTTGGAGGCCTCTTGGGGTCTCCTCTTAGGAGCTTGGGCGTCTCTGAGGGAGTGGTCTCCGGGGCCATTTTGGCACTCGAGGACTTGCGGAGGCAGTTTGGGTTGCCGAAAACTTTTAGAACCACTGTAGTGCCTTCCCTTTTATGTTTTGGGAAAAGTTCTGCCAGGCGCCCCGGCCGAGTTTTGGGTGGTGTTGGGGCCTTTCCGGTGCCTCTTGGGCCTGGGGGTCTCCTGGGGCTCCATGGGGACCTCTTAATGGCCGCTGGCGGTCTCGCGGGTCATCGTGGGGCGAAGGGCTCGAAATGTCAATTCGTGATGCCTCGGGCCGCCTTGGATGCCTCTTGGGCCGTCTTGGGGCCCTCTTGGAGGCCTCTTGGGGCGATCTTGGGTCCTCATGGGCTGTCTTCAAGCGTTTTAAGCCCGAGAGGGCGAGACCGCTAAAATCATTCAACATTTTCAGGGGCATCAGTGCTTTCGGTGTCTTGGGGCCCTCTTGGGGCTTCTTGAGCCCTCTCTGGGCGTCTCGGGGGCCATCTTCTCCGTCTTGCAGCATTCTTGGGCAGTCGCGGGACCCTGTTGGACCATCATGTGGGCGCCTGGGGACCGTTGTGGCTCTTTTTTTATCCCTCGGGCCTCCGAAAAGTGGAGCGGGAAGCCCAGACGGCACGCGGGAAGCCCCAGAAGGCAAGCGGCACTTTCCAGGAAGCGCAGCATCCTGAGCGGCCCGGGCCTTTCAGCATCCAACGACTCACGTCCGAGGGCTCGAGATTCAAGAGGGTCGGGGACGCTCCAGCGCGCGTGCCTCGAGGCACGATGCCGGATGTTGCTGCAGTAGCAGTCTCTGCTTCTCGAGAGAGTTTTGGCCTGCGGTTGGGGGGCCCTGGCCCGTTTCGGGGGAGCGTAAGACCCGGGTTTGCCAGGACTCGGGTTCGCCCTCTCTTTTTGACGACCGCGACTCGGATCTTGACGAGCAGGAGTTTCGTGGGACGTCTGCAGCGCGAGGCCTCGTCAAGGTGCAGGCTCGGCCTCGTCATTTTTTTGACGACCTCGTCGGGGATTTCCGAGTCCCCGGTACCCGTCGTCATCGTTGTAAGAGGAGGAGGAGGAGGAGGAGGAGGAGGAGGAGGAGGCGGCGGCGGCAGGCGCATCAGAGGGGTGTCGACGGCATCCTCGAACTCGGCCACGGGCAGAAGGCACGGGGACTGGCCGACCATTGCGTCGTCAACTTCCCTTCTAGCGGGCGCCGTGGTTCTAAACCTGAGAGGAAAAGGACCACGCGTGGCCTAGTGGCACGGGGCTCCCACCCGCCCCCCTACCACGGCTGGCACCCACGCTTTGAAGGCAGGGTTGGGCCGTAGGGTGCAGGGCCCAAGGGGCGGGGGACACAAAACTTACAGTTCAAACCACCAGAACCCCAGGCGGCGGAGAGGGGACAGGGGAGAAAGGGAACCAGCCAGCCAGCCAAGCCAGCACGCAGGGAGGGGCAAGCGAGGAGCCAGCGAAGCAAGGGAGCAGCGGGAGGGGCACAGCAGAACGCAAGCGGGCAGAGAGGAGCCGCCTGAGGTAAAGCCCCCCCCTGTTCAAAGTCGCAGGGAGGGCATCAGGAGTCCGTAGGGACGCTTGGACCGTAAGGGCCCTGGAAGAGATTCCCCCCAGGCGCCGCGAGGCCAGGGGCGTATCCCCAGCGAAGGTCCGAGACAACCCGTCCCAAGACAAGAAGCAACAACAACACGAGAACAACTAATGGTTCCGAGGTCTTAATCCCCGGATATCTAGGATGCTGCGGAGGGGGAGAGAGGCTTCAGACGAGGAGGAGGGGGGGACACGGCTGCCCGCCGCGGCAGGCGCTGAGTGGCTCACTGAGGCCTCAGGGGGGTCGTATTCAGTTCTGGGCGATAGCCTCTGGGTCCTCCCTGTCGTCAGTGATGACGAACTGGCCTGTCTCGAAATTCCTCTTGGCCTCATCGAACTGTGTGGAGATAACCTCTGAGAACTGTGTGGCCCCATCAACGTCGAGGAGGTCCCAATCAGTCTCGAGATGGTTGCAGTCGGAGTCGCACCAGTAATGCTTCCACCATCCTCGTCCCTGGCCACGGCTCCAGTGCTCAGTCGTCCAGGCCGTCCAGGTGGAGCTGCAGCAGCCTGGCGTTGTGGGACCGCGGCGGGGTCCCGTGCTTGTGGATCCCGCCCAATTGGACAAGGGCGTGCACGACCGTCTGTTCCAAGTCCGTGTTCGAAGCCGCGAGGAATAATTTCACTTTGTCCCCTGCGAACGTCGTCTGCAGCCTGCAATGCTTCACCTCCTGAGCGAGCGTCTCGTTGCTGCGGCGCTCGTGGTGAAGCTGGTCGCGGTACTCTGCGATTTTCTGTAGATTGGCCTGCCCGATTCTTTCTCCCTGTCCCACTAGCGCCCCGATCAATGCGACCCAGACGTGAGGATGCGGGATGCCGAGCGGCGTCAGCTCTGGAACGTCCTGCCCAGCCTGGATCGCCTCCTTGTGATCCTTGCGAAGTCGGGCCGCCCCGTTGCCGTAGAACTTGGCTGTCACCTGCATCGCCTGGATCACGTCGTGCTTTGCTGGCATCTGCACGTGCCTGTAGGTCACCGCCTCCAGGTGGTTGATGGCTGCTTCGTGGCGCAGGGCCACGCGGGCCAGCACTGGCACCATCGCCTGCACCCAGTCGAGGGGCATCCTCGTCAGCTGGTCGACGTCGCGCTGGGCGAGCCCGAAGTGGGTGTCGGTGGCGTCCCACACTGAGTTCGGCTGCCGTGCGCCGCCTGCTGGTGGCGGTGCGCCTTGCTGGCGCGCTGGAGCGGGCACCTCGGGGCCTCGGCGTCCGCGACGAGGGGCGCCGCGCTCGTTGCTGCGGGTCTGATCTCCTCCGCGGGCGCCCCCTCCTCGAAGCTCCTGCTGCCGCTGTTCTGTCCCGATGCTCAGCGCTCTCTCCGCGAGAGAGGGCATCGACCCAAATGTCGGGTGCTGGGGGAGCGTGCGCAATGCGGATGTGCTCCTGCAGGGCGTGCAGCGTGTGAAACTCGCCTTGAGCCTGATCAACTCCGGTACGGATCAGTCTCTCACGATGGATCGGGTGGGCACTCTCGAGGTCCACACACACGGGGCAGAAGAGGGTCCCTGGGTTCAGAACGGCGGGGGCGAAGGGGCTGTAGTCTGCTAGGCACCTCTTGAGCTTGAGGGGCTGCATAACGCGTCTCTTCGCAAGGACCACGGAGGAGAAGGACGAGGAGCAGTAAAAGCACTGGTTTGTCACGACTAAAGGATAAAGGGGAACGCGACAACGATGTTCGGGATGGTGACATTGGTGTGCTCTCATGGCCGCTCGAGAGGTAAAGACGCTGTTGCAAGGTTCCCCATCTCCCACTGGAAGTTCACAAACGTACTCATGAAGTGGAGGCCCTGGAGGCTCAGGTATGCCAGGGTCCACGGGGGCTCGAGGAGGCCGTAGCGGATCGCGCGACTGCTGGTTCCAATATTCTTTGCGAAGGCCCTGGGGGTCCAAGTTAGCAAACGCCAGTCCGATACGGTAGTCCGAGAAGATGTCTTTGATGGTGTACCCGCGATCCCAAAAATCTGTTCCTTTTGGTGTGAGTCCCAATGTGAGCGCATCGTTTTGAAGCTGCACTGCCCACGGGTTGGACTTTTCTCTGACCCAGCCTGCATCATCGAACACTGGAG